AATATTTTCCATTATTTTCATTTTGTTTATCCTTAATGTTATTCAATTGAATTGAGTCAACATTTTCTGCCTCTTCTATAGTATCGGGAATTTCTCGTCCCTTTGTTTCGGGAAGAAATAGTCCCAAAACGGCGCCGACACATGTGAGGGTACCATACAGTGTCATAACCAGTGTTAGTCCAGTAGTGGCCGTCTTTATATATAAAACAAATCATTCTTTAAATGTAACTTTATTAAAAACTTTATATATTATAATTACCAAATTCTTCATAAATGTTGCGCTAATGGATCCAATCCTTGAGATGACAGACGCGACACCCACTCCCCTCTGCCTCAAGACTGTGGGGTAGAGTTCAGGGATGTGTACAAACATCACATTCCAGGCGCTGTTGATTCCCAATTTGCTTAATAATGCAAACATCACTTTAAGCCATTCACTGGTGGACGGGATGACCGCAAAACATGAGACACTAGTTATGACCATAAATATTGCAAATAATATTCGGCGACCAATAAAGCGAAGGAATATGGCCGGCAGTATATATGATGGTATCTCTACCAATCCTGACAATAGGAAGGTTATGTAAAAATTTCCGCCAAAGTCAGACATATTCAAACTGATCCCATAGTAAAGTAGTGCGGTTGTTACCCAGGAAAACCATGATATAAATGTTATTTTTCTAAGTTTAGGTGTTTTTACCAGGTCTAATATTGTGTATTTTTGTTTTGCACTTTCAGTTGATTGCATCTTAAGTTATGGTATTTTTATATAACGTTATACAATGAATTTGGTATTTTAATATTTTTAGATACAGTGCATACCTTTTGCAGATATTCAAATAACTCAGACAACTGTGTTTTTAGATTATCATCAGACTTGCCATTCATTTTCAATGCGTTTCTGAGAGTCTGTTCAGCTCTGTCTACCTGTCCATTGGTTATCTGCCAACGCGGGGATTCATACAGAAAATAAAACCAAAATAACATTACAGTCAATGGTACTAATGACGCAAACTGCATATATCGATAATCTTGCAGCCAATACGCCAACCCTGGTATCCCAGCGTAACCAATGACCCAACCAATGCCACCCAGAATAGCTATGTCTGACCTGTACTTAGGTCCACAACATTCTAATACTATTTGATTAAATAATTTACAATTACTAGTTAAAAATAACATGTAAATTAACTCACATAATATATACATAGCCATTCCCCTGCCAGAACCTCCCATTCCTACTAGAAATCGGGCGATTGAGTAGAAATAAATATTAGGTGAGACGGCACACAACAATATGCCCGTCAACTCTATTGTGAATCCCAGCCATACAATAGGTCTTCGGCCGTATTTATCTGAATAATGCGAGAATACCAGTCCCGATATGACGTACCCCAACATAAATAATGTTTGCGAAAATGACGCGAAATTAGCTCGGTCACACACTAAATTAAACTATTGTTTTAATATTAGTTATGTTTTATACAAGTTTTATTAATAAGCATTTACTTCACTATTAATAGAGTTTGCAAACTTTGTCCGATCGTATTGCCATTCATTACAACTTTCATTTGGATTTATATATTTGAAACATTTCATGTCTTTTGTTTTATTCTAAAATTATTGTATTTTATTTATAATATTAGAAATTTATTTAAAATATTAAAATATTATTTTATTTTTGCTCGTAAAAATATTTTACCGGATAATCGTAAGGAACATCACTGCACCAAAAATCATTATCATAAGCATGGAAACTATATCCCATGTTGTTAATAGCGGCTACTGCCCACATAATAAAGTAAAAACTGACCAGGTGTAATTGCCATTTACCCCATTCACCCACAATGTCAGCGACATGTTTCACATTTGACTTTTGGTGGTCAACCATTTCCTGATCAATGAATCAGTTGAACAAAGTTTTTACAACACTTTCAGATGTTTATTAATTTGAGTAAATACGGTGACCCTCTTTATACTGTATTTTTAATCAAATAGCTTTAAAACTTCATACAAACAATTTTGGGTTTAATCTATCATTGAATTCATGTCACAACTGTACATATTATCATATCATGGTGCTTTTCAAGATAAATTTTTATAAATTTTATTTTCACTGACATTAAGTGCAACTTGTCTCTCAATTAAATGAATGCCAATGCTTGTTAATTATCTATCAAATAGTATATGCAATAATTTATTGCCAATAAATATTACAAACATTATTCAATTTAATATCATACAATTCATCTGATTAATTTTCATGAAATATCAATTAAAGTCAATTAAATGGGAATATTGTTTAAAAGTGTCAAGTATTATTCTGTATTACATGTACTGAACATATTATCTTGAACATATTATATTGAACAGTACTTTGTGTTGTAATTCTATAAAAAGTATTGTTATAATACATTCGTACAATAAGTTATTGTGAATAACTAACTAGTAAGATTCATAAGCAAAAATATAAACGTACACGTTTTTAGTATTATGAACAGTACTTTGTGTTGTAATTCTATAAAAAGTATTGTTATAATACATTCGTACAATAAGTTATTGTGAATAACTAACTAGTAAGATTCATAAGCAAAAATATAAACCATGTGCAAAAATCATAACGGATTATTTGGAAAACAGTATAGTAATAGTATTACTTATAGTTAAATTTCACACCTTATATAAAACATTAAATTTTGTCTTATGACATGATAATTATAAACAAAAGATCTATTACTTCACTTTTGAGGTTCAATTTGAGACGATTATTACAGTGAGATATAGTGTACAGTGTATATGGTAATTATACATTAGTTGTCTAATTTTAACTTAAAGATAAGGTCATCTAAAGTTGTACAGTATTTTATACAAATAGTGAGATCTAACGTAGATACTTTAATGCAGTTATAAAAGCACTTATCGGCCTAAACTATACCAAAATAGTGTATCAATATTAATAATCGTTATGCAATTTTTAAATATGACATTTCTCAAAAACATTAGACACTAGTCTAGTAAGTGTTCGGACTCTTGTCCACAGTTGAGGCCATTTCACAGTTTGTCACACTTTTGACAATATGTCTGCAATATCATATTGCCAATATGGATGATTACAGTATAAGTTTCGGTGTTAGACAATAATGGAACCAAAATATAAAGACTTTAAGTCTTAGACTTATCATGGCGAATAATCATTATGGAACCGTTTGTTTGGTTTAAAGTATATTGCTGTAAAATAATGAAATTTCAATTTCTAATCAAATGTTTAAACAAATTGGTTTTAGATGTGCTATTGATTCAAATAATTCTAGTTATTTTATTTACAGATTTGTACAAAACTTTACAAACATTTAACTCTAAATATAAATAGCATACTTTATTTATTCACGGCATCTTTAATTTAAGTATATTTTATATATAAGTGAATAGTTTAAATCCTATTAAACATTCTTTTATTGTATATTAAGTTTTTCGTTTTGTTTTATTAGTAAACTTTCTTAAGGTATCATTTCCCTTAGTCTTAAGCTTTTGAGTGTCGGCTCCGGTATTAGGGGTTTGCGGTGATTGCCATACGAACGTAGATAATACCCATGAGAATAAGCGCCCATTTCTGGGAATCGCCGCCATTTGCACCCCTAGCTGAAGAGGTTTTAGTTGTGTCCGTACCCTTAGAATCTGTATCCTTAATGGGATCCATTTGGTGGTTATATGCAATAGGAGTCCCGTTTGAAGGGTTGACGGGTTCGGGGTTATCGGCGCCCACTTGTAGAGTCACGTCCTCCTCCTCTTCGGTCAACTCCTAAACCAAATGAGGTTTCCGTTCAACTCATTTCACCGCTAAATCTAATCTTTATATACCTTTGGCTTCTGGTGGTGCGGGTGTCGCGTCCGGGAGTTCATCACATTCATGTCTAACTCGATGTCACCGATCCTTTTGACCCTTTTCTGGGATCTGTTCGTCCACTTCGACGTCAAACTCTAAGTCTCCGATCCGTTGAGGGGTTCCCATAACATCCATAGGCGCCGATGATATGACATCGAGGGTTGAGCCGCCATTGTCTCCCTCATCAGCACTGGGAGTCTCCTCTTTGTCATCAATACCTTTGCTGTGAACAGCTGGTGGTCCACCTCTGGTCCCAACATTTGGATTCACTTTGCCATCAATGAAGTGAATCTGCGGTGAAATGATAAGGAATGCAATGAATAAAAACATTTCTTTGGATCAACTCTTTAGCGAAGAAATAAATTAAAAAGACAATTGAGAATAGAGTCTAAGAGTTAAGTAACGGTTTAGTTTTCAATGATTATCCAAATATTGTCTTTTTTATCAGTGATTGTCTCAGTATTTGGTAAAGAATTTTATTCATAATATGGACCAAAAATGGTATATAATTCCTTGAAGAATGTGAAGTCAACATACGAGTCAACATTAAATTCATAACACATTACACATTACAACAATAAAATACAATAATTGTTATGAACACTATATACTGTATTTTGAAAATTGCATTCAAATCGGTATAAATTAGGAATAAAAGATCAGATATTTTTACGTTGATATCAGTGTTGAAAGAAATCCAGATCTAAAACAAATGGTTTCTGAGAAAAAGTTTGGACTCTTTCCCAAAAATCGGGGGAAACCCAAAAAATACTACGGCTTATACCCCAAGACATGGCTGGCCATCGGTGCGACCGCTCTAATCGTCGGAGTTATCGCCTATTGTTATGACATTACGCCAAAGAAAGTCATGGATGAGATGAAGGCTATGCCCCAAAAAGTCACGCAATAAAA